ACAATGGAAAGGGCAAAAGGAAATCACTCGACTATTTTTTTCTCTCGAAGTCATTGCTAATTCTCAAATAATGAAGAAAAAGAATTTCTAGGTGTGACATGGGAATTTACGTCCTGGACAGACAAAACATTAAAAATTGATTGTATATAAAAAATATTTTTCCTAGAAATAATGGTTTCCATGATATTTCAAAATCTGTAAAACCTAGATATCTGATAGGTAAATATTTGCCCAGACGTCTTACAATAATAGTAGTTGTACCTTGCCTAACTTGATTTTTTTAAATGCTAAATCCCTTCAAAATATAAGATTCCATTTCTTCTAATCTGTAAATTACCAAATATTCTAGCGAAAGATAGACATATTGTTTACCATAGCTTTCTCTGCGGTTTGCAATCCAGATTTTCTTTGTCCTAGACTGGCTTCCAGCCGAGGATAGCGAGCTCAGGTTACCATGCTATTCAATCCACAGGGAGAAAACATGTAGTCATACTTTTCTCGGTGGCGTAATGCGAAATGAACGCACTGGACTAGGTGAGAATTTGAATTCGGCCTGTCGATTAAACCTTAACATGGCATGTTTTGCGGCATCAATTTCAAGAGAGGTTATGACAACCGGGTGAGGTTGCAAACTGTTATATTCCGTACCAATGAACACTAATGGGTATGTCCCAATCATCATAAATACGTTGAACACTATTGTAAATGCGGGTAATATGCTGGCTAAGTAGTCGACCACTAGCAGTGGTTTACCTATTTCACGGCGCTGGCGATTATTGGATGTTGTTGATGTTCTAAAGATTACCATTTCATTTCCAACCTCCGTTTTGGTTATTCCTTATTCAGTAGCCCTTCCTAGGTTACAACACAAACCCACAAGCTTACGGCCACATCACGTTTAAGCACCGGTTCTCGGATGATCACCGAAGTTAAGCAACGTCGCGCCTGCACAGTACGTAGATGGGCGAACTGCCAAGTAATACTAGCTGCTCTAAGCTTCAATGCGCGAGTGGTGTCCACGAATTTTTAATTGGAGAGCAGATTTCAAGTTCCAGTTGTGTCCGTTATATTCACTTACATGAAAATACCTTTGGTAAATGATACCAATCCATCTCTTCTTCCTCCCCAGCAAGGGATTAATTACTAAGACTTATTATCACTAAGGAGGCACGGTGGAGTAACGGATATCGGCTCGGATTGAGAAATCGGAGAACCGAATTCGAATTCTAGTCAGATCCATTACATTTACTTACATGCTAATACCCTTGGGAAAGGTATGATCTTCTCCCCCCTCCAAGCTATGGGACAAACCTGGTTCTGTTCTTATATTTTGACCAATGTCTGTAGCATTGGATGGCAAGTGGTCTACCACCGGAAGAAATAGCAACCTATAAAAAATCTGCCTCCTCAGTCATGTATCGAAAGGTACATGATCACCTAAGCGTGCACACTGACTGATCACTGAGACATTATTATCTCTAAAAATAAAAAATAATCCTTACAATCCAAAAATATTTTTTGACTTTAAATAACCTCGAAAGAGTTGATAAACTGTATAAAACGTATCAATCCAACCTCACAGAGCTACCTCTGTTAATTTTCCTCTGTTTGGGGTCTTGATTCTGCGAACGTTGGATACTGCCCGTTTTCAGCTGTATCAGTTTCTCACTGATAGCTGTTGAATCGACGGGAGATGAACTTCTCTTCAATAGAGTCCTCATAAATATTCACTGGAGCGTCACTTCTCCTTCGGCCAGAGACTCCTTTTCGGGGAGCGCTTATATATGTTCACTGAAGTTTCACTTCTCCTACAGCCAAATACTCCTTTCGAGAAAATCCGTACATATGTTCGCTGAGAATCTCCTCTGTCAACGGAGACTGTTTTTCAGAGATTTCTTGTATATGATCATTGGAGGCTTCAATTCTTCTTCGGCCAGTGATTCCTTTTCAGCGAGTCCTTATATTTGACCAATGGGGTGTCATTACTCCGTTAGCCAAAGTATAGTTTACATTTGTTTTAATAATTGCTTTAATTATTACATAGACAGTTTCTTGAAGAAAGTTCAATTAATTCATACTTTACAGTTTCCAGCCCCATTGCATAACCATTAAGCTATATTTTTCAGCATTAGCCGTGGATAACATCAAGTTGGTTTTGTTAAAGTTAAAGCGTGTATTTTTAACATTTAGTTCATTATAAATCTATGTCATGGGCAATTACCTGAACGAGTTTATTTAAAGAAACTTTTCTCGTATAATAAATTGCGGTTGTAAGTCTTGAAACAGAGTTGTTTTGTAATTGTGATAGAAAAATCAATATTTGCTTCATGTTTATCGTATTTATTGCTGTATATTTTAGTTGATTTTGTCATGTGCAGACAAGTGGCTTCTTTTCTTTTCTTTTAAGTCCCCATATAAAATAAACTTTAGAAATTAACGCGAGTGACCGAAAGAAAGAAGCCCCAGGAATACATTTATAAAGTGTAGTGTGTTTTTCGTTCATTAGCAGCGTTTCTGTTAAGAGTGAGCCGCACTTCTTCTGTAGAGCTACCCACAAAAAGTGAGTTTATGTTATTTGCTAAACTTACCTGAATTCGTTACAGGATGGATACATCCAATGAGGACCGAACTTAATGCACAAGAAGTGACCAGTCAAGGCTATTTTGATGACCATCGGTCTATGGCTGCTGCCTATGAATAGAAAAAGAAAGAAGAGTAATTTTTGTTTCGATTCATAAAGAATGTTGTTGTTGTTGTTCTTCTTCTTAGCCCTCTTCTGCATCTTTTTCCTCCTCTTCTTTTTGTTGTTGTTCTCTTCTTCTTCTTTTCTCCTCCTCCTCCACCGCCTTCTCTTTTGCTCCGTTTTCCCCCTCCTCTTATCCCTCCTCCTCTTCGCCATTTCTCCTCCTACCTCTATTCTTCTCCTCCACCTTCTCTTCTGCTTATTTTTCTTCTTCCTCCTCTTTTTATTGTTCTGCGCTTATTATTCTTTTCCTCCTCCTCCTCCTCCTCCTCCTCCTCCTCCACCAACTCCTCTTTTGCTTCTTGTTCTTCCTCATTTTGCTCCTCTTCTTTTTCAATTACTTATGACTGAACCTAGACGAAGATATTGAATCGATTGTTAGGTTTTCTACAAGGAAAGTGAGTTCACTGACAATTTTTCTCGCCAGAATTCATCTTAAACATTTAAAAGTCTACCATTGCACTTCTTGCTTCCGGCTACCCGCTTTCCTGTCGAATACGGTCATCAAATAATTAAATGCAATGTTAATCTCCATCTTCTGTCTTTTTTAATCCTGGTCTTTTATTTTCGTTTCTCCGCAGTAAAAATTTCTCATTTTCTTTCACTATTAGTAGCTCCTTGCGTTTTAGTGACTTTATCGTCTTGCTTAAAATGATAAAAAAACTAATATTTTGAACAAACTCGATCACCATTAATTAGTTTCTTTTAGTTTTCTCTGTCAAACGGATGCGCTCCTTGTAGAACCACGCGAAGAGCGATGTGGTCTGAAAAAATGAATTTAATTGTTAGGCCGTTTTTCAACTGCTTCTACGTTTATATTGGAAGTACAAATTCAGTACTATTGGTTATAACTAGTAACGGCAGTATTCAGCAATAGAATTAATTAATCGATGGCCTTGTCTTATTAGCACTGTTCCGCTTCCATCAATCACTGCGTATAGATTTATTGATGCTTGATACAAGAGGAGAGCTGCTTCATTTTCCATGTATTTTGCCACTGGGTTTTGCTCCTCTTTTTGTTTGGCTCCTTACCCATTAACCAGTCAGACTCTTACTCATTCAGCTGTCTCGCTCCTATACATAGAACCATTTGGATCCTATCCATTCACCTGTCTGGCTCCTGCACATTCATCTGTTTGACTCCTCCCCATTCAGAATCCGATCCGTAGGAGCCAAACAGGAGAATGGGTGAGAGTCTCACAGATGTCTGAGTAGGAGTCGAACAGGTGAATTGTTATGAGCCGGGTAATTCGATGCGTAGGAGCCAGGCAGCTGAATGGAGAGTAGCCAAACAGGTGAATGGGTAGGAGCATGACCTTGTGAATAGGTAGGAGTAGGATAATTCGAGGCGTAGGAGTCGATCAGCTGAATAGGTGTAGGGAGCCATAGAGGAGCTCAATAAGAGCCTGATCCACAGTGCGGCACCATTTGATTGTGCCCGAAAAGCATACCACGGTTTTAACGAAGCCTTGTGAATAAAATCGTGTAGATGAAACTGTTTGGAAGCCGTCGATGGCTTTGATAGTCGTAAAGTCACCGAGACCGAGTGTTTCAGTGTACTGGCCTTCTTAAACACTTTATCAAACTAGATTATGTGCTCCCTTGAAGAGATTGTAACTAGGGTCGTTCAGCATAGTTACAGTATAAGCCACAGTTTGGCACTGTGGGTGTTGAACAGACGTCTGCAACAGCGATTAGCTAGACACTCCAACAGAAAGTTATACTCTAATATGAGCGTCCAGCTATATATACAACTTGGATAGTGTCACTTTACATATATAAAAGTATATTTTTATTTAATATGCATAAAGCAAGGAGCTGACCGGATAATTGGAACAGACCTTTATGCAGATTGACTGTCAGTCCGCTGATCTAACCAATATTCTTCGAGATAAATTCAGCCAATGTACGGCTCGTTTTCTTGATATTGTCCTGGGAGATTCTCTCCGGGTAATCTACGGCATGTCCGTCTTCAGTTAGACGGAATATATATTTTTGGTATTCGGTATGTTTTTACGTTTGCCAATTCGCCATTCAGACGAAAGTCGTATAAATAATAAACTGAAAACTCGAGTGCATTTCAGTTCATATTGCGGTGGCATCTAATGAACCTTGTTTTAGTTGTTGTGGTTAGTAAAGCTGTAAGCAAAGCGACGACCGAACCAGTCTTCCCAGTTTTGATCTGACGGTCTCGACAGGTGGTTTTATCTCGGATAGCTTTTAATGGAAAAAAATCCCCCTAGCATTGCTGGATCATATGGCTTGTCACACTCATCGTCCACCGGCAAATGCTGTTCTTTTCCTCCTCTTTTCTCTGAAAAATAAGAAGAAAAAATTATTCTGTACTACAACATATGTCGGACACTGAACTGGCATGTTTTGAGAAGGACGGTTTTTAAAACGCTAGTAGCGACATAGTGCGGCTTAAAGTTGTTTTGAAGTTGATGTTCCGTTTTCTATCTATCTATCTATCTATCTATCTATCTATCTATCTATCTATCTATCTCAGTATGTTCTTATCTATCTATCTATCTATCTCAGTCTGTTCACATCTATCTATTTATTTCAGTCTGTTCATATCTATCTATCTATCTATCTATCTATCTATCTATCTATCTATCTCAGTATGTTCTTATCTATCTATCTATCTATCTATCTATCTATCTATCTATCTATCTATCTATCTATCTCAGTAATTTCTTATTTATCTAAGTCTGTTCATATCTATCTATCAATCTATGCCAGTCTCTTCATATCTATCTATCTATCTATCTATCTATCTATCTATCTATCTATCTATCTATCTCAGTATGTTTTTATCTATCTATCTCAGTAATTTTTTATCTAAGTCTGTTCATATCTTTCTATCAATCTATGTCAGTCTCTTCATATCTATCTATCTATCTATCTATCTCTCTATCTATCTATCTATCTATCTATCTATCTATCTATCTATCTATCTCAGTCTGTTCACATCTATCTATTTATTTCAGTCTGTTCATATCTATCTATCTAGCTAGCTATTTCAGTCCGTTCATATCTATCTATCTATCTATCTATCTATCTATCTATCTATCTATCTATCTCAGTCTGTTCACATCTATCTATTTATTTCAGTCTGTTCATATCTATCAATCTATCTCAGTCTGTTCATTATCTATCTATCTATCTATCTATCTATCTATCTATCTATCTATCTATCTATCTATCTATCTATCTATGTGTGCATGTGTATGTGTCCTGTGAGGATTTTCTCGGAGCAGTTGATTGGTAGAAAAACTGCAGCTTTTGACAGCAGAATTTGGAAGGGCTTTTTGCATTTATTGACTAGCTTCGACTTTGGTAAAACTTTAAGTCCGGTTTAAAGAAGAGAAGAAACTTAAACATAAATTGTTAAAAATAAAAGAAAGTTATCAAGGCTCGCGAGGAGACAGTAGTGGGAGAGTTACAGACTGAGTCCAGAAAGAGAGTGGGAAAAGAGGAAAAGGAAGAAGGAAAAAGAGAGAAGTAGAAAATGTAAGCGGGAGAAAAAGAAAAAAAAGAGGATGAAAGAAAGTGGGTGAAAGAAATGTTAACGGAAAAAGAAAGTGTGCGAAGGCAAGTGAATAAGATAGAGGAGAAAGAAGAAAAAAAAGAAAAGAGGAATGTGAGAAATGATTAAAAGGGGAAGAAAGATATGGGAAAAGGAAGGAAAGAGTGTAATTCGATGAAAAAGGGGGGGAAGTAGAGCGAAGTTGGAAAAAGAAATGAGAAAGAAGATAAAACAAGGGGGAAAAAAGAAGAAGAAATAAGCAGTGAAGACGAAGTGGGAGAGAGATAGAAACGAGAAAAAAAGGAAAGAGAAAAAGAAAGAAATCTAGAGGAGGTGGAAGGAAGAGGAAGAGGAGAAAAGAGGAAGGCAGTGTAATGGATGAAAAGAGAGTGTTAAAAAGCATTGATATTAGTAAGAAAAAAAAGATACAAAGAAGATAGAAGGACGAAACAATTAAAAAAGAGAAGAATCAAAAGATTAGCTTTTAAAATAGGCGACGGAAAAGGAAATAGACTGAGCAATTGTAATAAAATGAGTGAGAAGGACAAAGTATAAGAATGAAGGGGTGTGGATAAAAAGAGAAAGAGAAAAAAAAGAAAAAAAAAAAAAAATCAGATTTTTTTTTCTTGTCCTCTGTTTTATGATCGCATTTTCCTTTAGAGTTTACAGTTTGCATAATAATGGTTAGCCGAAAAGTGAATTTAGGAATAAAAAAAAATAGGGAAGAAAGAAAAAGGCGCCATGTTTCTTTCAACCGACATTCAATAAACTTAATCTCCGTTCACTCAATTGTTTAATAAAAAAAAAAAAATCGAGTTACATACAAGGTTATGCTGAAAAGTTTTCGGTCCGACCCACTTCCCACAATCTCAGTGAATGACCAAGCATCAGATAAATTTTGGCAGAAATTTTCAGCACCCTTTGTAAAACTGACTTACGTACATGGCTCGCTATTCTTTACTTTTTCATTTTCTCTTTTTCACTCGATCATTTCATCTTTCTTACACACTCAAAGAATTAAAAACTTTGTTTCAAAAAACCAAACAAAAAAGAAATAAGTACTGATAGATGAAAGAGTAGTTTTACCGCTTAAAATCTGTCGTGATAGCTTTATTCTAATCTTAATGCATGGTTGAACGAATTGGTTGAAGCTGATTTATAATCAAACTGATTATATATAGAATGTATTATGATTCATACTTACTTTATTAACATAATTTGCTTCTTTAAGTCATAACAATAAAAAAAATAAGAAAGACGGAGCTTATATTACGTTGTTGAATTTGTTTATTCAAACAAATTTGATTTGCATATTCCTATTGCAGAAAAGACTGTATTCGTTATTACTCGTTATTTTTTTTAATGAGACAACATTGGTTCCAAAACAATGAATCAAATGCGCCTGAAGGATGCGAACGGTTTAAGTAAATTATTTCGAAAAAAAACGAAATAAATAATAATAATAATAAAACTGGGGTGGGAAATGAACTGAAGTGGAGATGCCAGGAACATTGCAGATTCTTCTTTGTATTTCATCAATAATCTCTCCCCTCCAGTCTCTCTCTCTCTCTCTCTCTCTCTATATATATATATATATATATATATATATATATATATATGTGTGTGTGTGTGTGTGTGTGTGCATGTGTTCGCGCGTGTACGTGTGTGTGAGTGCGTTAGCGTGATACAACTGAGAACATGCGTGAACAATTTCAGTGTTTTGAACTTCTGTCACAAATTGGTCCAGAATACAATAGAATTAGCATTCGTTCGCTCACAAAGGGTAAAATTATGGCGATTTTATAATATATTAAATAGGTATATTATCTATTTGCATATGATCAGTGTTAGGATGAGAGTCGACAAGCAGGTTATGTCACAATTTTTTTCTTAATTATATATATATATATATATATATATATATATATATATATATATATATATATATTTAATTAAGAAAAAAAATATATATATATACAATTTTTCTATAATACATTTTGCTTTATTTTATTAGAAACAGAGAAACATCTACCTGTGTATAGGGCAACCGGCGCTTGACTTGAAACCTCTTCAAAAAGATCACCTGCGTATAGATCGCCCCCCTTTTTTGAGTAAGAAAAAACACTGATCATAAAAGCTCGCAATCTGGGCAGTAAGACGTGGCTAGCAATTTTATCTGTCTAGATCAATTGTGACTGAATAGAGTTCAATCTCTCACTGGGTGCTCCATACTTCCCACCTTGTGCCATATCTGAGCTGCGATTATAAAATCACCAAATGGGTACCGCATTGTAGTGTATTGGTTAGCAAGCTTGTCTCCAAATATTCTTAATTTGTATTTAGATGCAATCATGTAATAAGCCTATTTATTGCTTTTAGCAACGAGAACCTGCACCACATTTCTACCTGGCAGGAAAACAATGAGGAAACAGTCAAGAGCAAAATGCAATTAAAGAACGAAGCATTACTTGAGAAAGAAATAAAGCACAACGCACAGACTTGCAACATGGTAAGTAGATATTATTTTCTTAGTAACAAAACGAGTATGTATAGATTTTGAGCGTACTGGCTTCGTTCGACGCATTATGAACTTATCTCCCAGAAGATGTAGTGTACACTACAGGTGGGCTCTCTGGATGTTGAATATACAGAAAGATTTCATATTAGGCGCCTACAACAGGGGTGAGGTAGTCAATCTAGCAGACAAGCATATTCGAAATATATATATATATATATATATATATATATATATATAGATAGATAGATAGATAGATAGATAGATAGATTACGAAGAACTTGGTAAACCGAATGGGTAATTCCAAGGAGGATGAAATCCTGAAAGCTCAATATGAATACAGAGCTAATATTTAATGATAAACAGACCACTTTAAGGTACCATTACAATAATTTATTTCACCAAAATCCTTTTTAAAGGACTCCGGATCATCAGGTAACACTTCCAACAACGAAATGAAAGGAATTGTTACCTGATGATTCGGAGTCCTTTAAAAAGGATTTTGGTGAAATAAATTATTGTAATGGTACCTTAAAGTGGTCTGTTTTTCATTAAATAAATAGATAGATAGATAGATAGATAGATAGATAGATAGATAGATAGATAGATAGATGTTCCAGAAGGATACTGGAAACAAAAAAATATGCACAGAAACATCCCTTGCAAATAGTAATTACGCCAATACCACAATGCTTCGTAACTATATTTGGGAGATTAAAAACAGAAAACAAATCAAACCAAAAATATCATGGAAAATATGGAAAACAGCATCAGCCTACAACAATAAATAAGGAAAACTGTAAACTCTCTCTGGAGGAGAAAATAGCTTGACTTACTTCCCCAGACCAAAACAGGGAATCAGAACTAATCTCAAAATGCAGACACGTAAACAAATGTTTACTACGTTACTTAAAAATCACAAATTTAAAACGAACAAGAATAAACAAAATAAATAAATAAAATAAAACAAATAAACAAAAATATATAATAATGTATATATAAAGAGTCGAGCAATAACACAAAAAAAATATGGCCTAACGATTGGTTATAAACATGAAACAGACTGTCGCTGCTTACTTTAATGTCCACTTATGGAGTCTGCTACAGAGGCACACAGGAGAAAGAGAGCTTAATGGCTTATTAACTGGCAGAGCATTAATATTTCACAATAAATTACCGATAAACGATGACCGACCACGACTAAAAGTTTCATAAGACGGTCGACAACAATTATTTTGTAAAATGAGCACTTTATACCACTTTGGAAATTTGAAGATGTTACACACCAAACAAACTCATCAAGTGGGGGGGGCAATCTGCCCAAGATGGAAATACCGTAAAATCATGCAAAAAAAAGTATAAGTTCACAGTCGTACCGAGAAAGTAAACGTATCCGAGGATAATTATCTCTTAAGGCGTTTAGCTAATCCCTATTGCAAACGCTTGCTATGGCACATTTCTATTTGTTCAGCACCCAAAGAGCCAACCTGTGGTTTTTTACTGCAACTATGCTGAGCAGACTTTAGTTACAGTTACTGAGGGGAGAAGCACGTTATCTAGCGTGATCAACAATCTGAACAAGGCCAGCCCACTCAAACCCTCGGTCACGATGACTTCCTGCTAACATAGCTAACTACGGTTCCCAAGGATACCGTCTACACATTTTCACTCACAAGGCTTAGGTCAACCCGTGTTATGGTTTCCAGGCACTTTCCAAAGGTGCCGTACGATGGGATCGTGATTTTGGACCCGGGTTTCCTGATCAGAAAGCGAAAGTTCAAACCACTCAGCAACCTATTTAAATAGTGCTCTCTGCCTAGGTTACGAAGAGCGAGTAGTTAATCTTCCCAGTATCACCATTCTGAAAGAGATGAAGTTCAGAAGACTACTTAAGTTTCAAGCTACTGCAATCGTCAGGCGACCAGAACACACACATAAGTACACACACAAATACATGCATTCATATTTTTTTAAAAAATTGAAAAAAAAAATTGGAAATAACGTTTTAAACCATAACAACTGAAAACTGGAAAATTTATCAAGAAACATCGGTGTCGGGATAGAATTGATATTTAAAAGTAATCTTTTCATATAATATTATTAACGATCTATTTTTAAAATTATTTTAATATTTTTTAATATTGAGCACTATATATAATAATATCTGCTGTTTCTTAAATCTTAAATCTGCATTCACAC